GCTGAGGGGGCGGGGAGCACCAAGAAGAAAAGGAGGAGAGGGAGGCTCCCTGACCCCAGGTGCTTTACCTGGCGCATCTCAGCCTCAGCACCACAGCCCTCTCAGACACCTGAGACACAGGGAGGGGACCCTATTTAGCCAGGCGTGTTCAGCTCCCGAGCCCCCAAACCAGCTTTCAAGAATAGCTCTGCCTGACTCCAGAGCCCGGTGGTGGTGCCTGCCAGGAAGCTTGTGCTGCCACCTTGAGTAGTGTGTTCCTCGGGGTTCTGTCCTGGGCCGCCTCTCTTTTCAATCCACGTGTTCTCTCTCCCTAGGTGATCTCGGTCACTTTCCTCTAAGTACTGACGACTCCCACATCTATCTACATATCCAGGTTATTCCCCTCCCTCGAGTCTCAGGCCCGTTTTTCTGCATTCTTACCAGCAATATAGGAGAATGCTGGTTTCCCCACATTCTTTCCAACATGTGACATACTTAAATTTCACTAATATGATAGATGAAAACTAGTATCTCAGTGGCATTTTATCTTGCATTTCTCTAGTCATGTTTAAGGACAATTTTAGTATCTTTAGAAATTGTCTGTTCATGTCTTTTCCACATTGTTGTATTGGGTTGTTGGTCCTTGTTCCCTGATTTTTTTCAAGTGTTCTTTATATTACTTACGATAGGCCTTTATCTGTTGTATATGTTGCAAATATTTTCTAGTTTGTCAGTTGTCTTTTGACTTTGTTTATGGTGTGGGATTTTTTTTCCATGCATTAGAAAAATTATGTAGTCAAATTTATCAAACTTTTATTGCCTCTAAATTTTGATTCATAGTTATAAAATAGTTTTCCTACATTAAGGTTAAAAAGGAGTTCACTCATGTTTTCTTCCAGTACACATATGGTTTTTTGTTTACATTTAGAATTTATACTTCTGTATGGTGTGCAGTATGGGTCTAATTTTTTTTCTTCTTCCAAGTGGCTGTTCGGTTTTTCCAGGACCATTTATTAAAATGCCCATTTTTACCCTAGTGATTTGAGATGCCGTCTTTATCATGTACTAAATTTCCATATGTACTTGGGAAACTTTCTGGGCTTCCTACTCTATCCCATTGGTCTATTTGCTATTCATGCACCACTATTAATTATAGAAGATTTAGAATAAGTTTGAATATCTGGTAAAGCTAGTCCTCCTAATAGTTTTTCTTTTTCAGTATTTTCCTGCATATTATTGCATGTTTGTTTTTCCATATGAACTTTAACCAACTATTGGACATATCCACTCAGATGCCCCTAAATGACTTCAAATGCAATAGGTCCCAAAGTGATTTCACCATCCTTCTTCTCTCTTCTCCACATGCCAAACTTCCCCCTTGTTTTAATAGATGGTTCCAGAATCCACAGTTGCCAAAGTAAGAAATCTGGGAATCCTTTCTAACTCCCTCTTCCTCTTGGTCACCAAGTAATCTTAATTTCTTCTCTTCTAAATATCTCTGGATGCTTTCACTTCTCTCCCATCTCTATTCTTTCAATCAACTCGTTTTGCATGTGACAGGTCCCTTTCTGATTTCGCTTCCTCAAGTCTTTCTCTCCTCTAATAGATCTTTCCTAAACATTATTTATGATCATACCATTCCCTGCAGTTTCATCCTCATCACAGTCCTTTAAGTAGATAGATCATAAACAAATTCTCTCTTTTGGAGAAAGCACTCCATTAAGTCAGGATAAAAAGGACCTTTAATCAACTTTTAGCATTATTGAAGATCTAATGTAAATGTTGAATCTGATAACTGACAAGAAATATGCCTGTTGGATGTTTAGACATTAGGCCAGATTCTTCTATGGGATGACACATGCTGCAAAGCTATAAATTCTATTCCTCCAAAATACCTGGAGATCTGCTCCTGTAAAGATTACAGCCTAGGAAACCCTATGGGGTACTTCTACTCTGTCCTATAGGGTCGCTATGAGTCGGAATCAACTCGACGGCACACGACAACAACAACGCCACCAATATGGAAGTTCAGTGAATTTTCCTTCAAAAGTCCCTTGGGGGGATAAAAAACAGATGGGCAAGGATAGGCAAGGAATTAATGAAAAGTAATGATAGAGGTTCTAGTTTTTCAATAGATGAGAGCTTCTAATAATAATCAAAACAGTGTGGCACTGGCCCAAAAATAGAAATTTAGCTGAAGAAGAGATAAAAATGTTCTTCTATACATCTAGATTTTAATGGGCTTCTAATATATGAATAACGTAGCATTTCAACCTAATGCCAAAAAGCTGGCCTAGTCAGTACATTGAATTTTTGCTGTAGCACCAAATTCACGTGACTTCACAACCCAAGACTCTAAACCCAAGAGGAAGTATTTCATTTTTATTATCATCCTCATCAATAGGTGCTGTTGAGTTCTTATATGTGCATGACATCACAAGGTCACCATACAACACATTATTAACCAGTCTCATTATTTACCATGGTGATCAAGATCTAAAACTCTAGCTCTGCCACTTACTAGTTGTATGAACTTAGAAAAGGTCTTGAAAATCTATAAGACTTAGTTTCCTCATCTGGAAAGTAGAAATAATGTTACTTGTATTACAGGATTATTGTGAATTTTAAATAAAATTTGCTATATAAAGTATTCCCACATGCGTCTGTCAGTTTGTCATACTATGGTGGCTTACGTGTTGCTGTGATGCTGGAAGCTATGCCACTGGTATTTCAAATACCAGCAGGGTCACCCATGGTGGACAGGTTTCAGTGGATATTCCAGACTGTGATGGTTAAATTGTGTGTCAACTTGGCTGGACCATGATTCTCAGTGTTCTGGCAGTCGTATAATGTTGCAATCACTTCCCTGTTGAGAAGCCAATCAGTTGAAAGGGAGTTTCCTTGGTTGTGTGGCCTGCATCAAATATAACTGGAAGTTCTGGCAAGGCTTGGGGGCTTTTTGCTCGTGCTAGATCCTGCAGCTGGCTCCTGTTCATCTGACCTGTGGTTCTTGGGACTTGAGCTAGCAGCTTACTCGCAGTCTTGACTGCTGATCTTGGGATTCATCGAGCTTCACAGCCTGTGAGCAAGAGCCCTGCTCTCTGACCTGCTGATCTTGGGTTCACCAGCCCCTGCAGCCACGTGAATAAGAAGAAGCCTCTCTCCTGACCCATGGACTTGGGACATTCCAGCCTCTACAACTGCGTGAGCCATTTCCTTGATATAAATCTCTCTCTCTCGCTCTCTCTCTCTATATATATATTTATATGCTTTACTGGTTTTGCCTCTCTAGAGAATCCAGCCTAAGACAGACTAGGAAGAAGGACCTGGTGGTCTACTTCTGAAAAAAATTAGCCAGTGAAAACCTTATGAATAGCAGCGGAACACTGGCTGGTACAGTGCCAAAAGATGAGCCCTCGGGTTGGAAGGCACTCAAAATATGACTGGGGAAGAGCTGCCTCCTCAAAGAAGAATTGACCTTAATTACATGGATGGAGTCAAGCTTTCAGGACCTTCATTCGTTGAGGTGGCACGACTCAAAATGAGAAGAAACAGCTGCAAACATCCATTAATAATCGGAAAATGGAATGTATGAAGTTTGAATCTAGAAAAATTGGAA